ACTGTTCACTCACAAAGTACTTAAGCATGAAATCGAAGTGCATTTGTGTGTTACTCTGACCCATGTGTTCTTACATCAACATGTAATTCTGGTTTTTATCAGTATGTGCATGGTCAGTTGCAGACTATAACACTATATTTGACCTTTAAATGGGCGTTCAGCATACTTCAGGTTGAGGTGTGGCTTTACATATAAAAAGTGGCAGGTGACAGGTGAGTCAGTGGATCAAGTTACCAGCACACAGTAAGTTCAACACTTGCTGATTATCTTGTATGCATATGTGAAGAAAGAGTTTGTATATGTTGTATTTTATTTTGTGAACAGGTTTTGGTGAACTCACTCTGATCTGAACTTACAGGGTGTGAGGTTTGAAATTTGGAGATGTCTGGAAAGGGAAGAGGTAAAACACATAGCTCCCATCATGTGTGTTTTCCATATCTTATACATATTTAAACATTTTAATGTTAAAAGATGAATTTATGACTAATTCTAGGCGGGCATTGTCATGAAGGAGGGCATGGACATGGCCATGGTGGTGGACATGGTCATGGTGGTGGACACGGACATGACCATGGTGGTGGACATGGTCATGGTGGTGGACATGGTCATGGTGGTGGACACGGACATGGTCATGGTGGTGGACACGGACATGGTGGTGGACACGGACATGGCCCTCATGCTCATGGATGTGAGAAGAAGCACAGGCGCCGGCACAAGCAAGGACACAGGCACCTCAAATGCCACAAGAAGGGGAGGGATTGTCACGGGGTGAGTCTGAATACTGCAGCAGTGCAGATTTGATCCACAACAGGAAGTAGATGCTATTGAGCTGAAAGTGAAGCATGACATGTTTGTGTAATACAGCCTGAAAAATATCACTGAAATAATCTGTTATTCATAAGATGTGTTTGGATGGTTATCAGCAGGTGGCAGGACAGCAAATGCACACTTTAAGCCAATTTTAAGGATATTTTGAGGTCATAAGTGAAAAATAAACCCCTCCTCCTAACCACTCAGCCAAAAAGAGTTAACCACCCCTCAATTTAGAATCAATGTGAGGACTTCACCAAATATCATCTGTCTCTTCTCCAGGACTCCAGCAGCTCCTGCAGCAGTGACTCTGACTAGATGAAGATTTCTGGGGGGACCTGCATGGAAACATTGCTATTTTATACTTTCTGCTTTTAATATTACTTTTTTTTTAACACATGTAAGGAACAAAAATAAACATAAAGAATATGTAAAACAGAAGGTTGCTTCCCACATCTATAAAAACCGGATGGTTTGTGGAGTATCATTTTAAGCCTTGAGCTTTGCCATGCTTGCCTTGTTTTTTGAATTAGAACATGACAAGGGTGGCTCAACCCTACCTGAGAAACTGAGGAAACTGCATTCTCACTGGGTAGCAACCTGCCAATCATAAGGCAGTTCCGCCTTAAAGCAAAGCCTTCATCAATCTCTCTTTTAATTGGAACATGACTTTCAAAAAAATATTATGTTGTAGAGCTAACCATAAAGTCATGTGTAAAGTGTTTACTGAGGTCATAAATCAGGCTAAGGCTACGTCCACACGTACACGGGTATTTTTGAAAATGCAGATTTTTCTATGCGTTTGCACCTTTCTTCCACACGTAAATGGCGTTTTCGGTCACTGAAAACTGAGATTTTTAAAAACTCCTGCCAGGGTGGAGATTTTCGAAAACTCCACTTTTGCATTTATGTGTGGACGAAAACGGAGAAAACAGTCAAAGGTGTGCGCCTTTTTTGACGTCACACTCTGCGCCACGTTATTGTTTCGGTTCTACAATGGCGGACTTAGACAAAATAAATTTACTGTTCTCTGCAGTGTTTAAATGCTTGCATATACACACACAGTCCCAGACTACCTCTGGTCAGTCAGCTGATCTTGAACAATTCAGTAATAAAACAAACCAAACTCCAGCTTCAAGAACAACTTCAACCATGCAACATACAGATGGAAAAAAAATCATTTACAAAAGGTGAAAAACTGATAAACTTAAGTTCTCTGTGTACCAGGTTGGGACTGGATGGGATGAAAATGGTGTGAATTTGTTCTGTTTTTGTTTTACCAGTTTGAAGGTGTTTTTGTGAGGATCTTTGCACTTGCAGCTTGCAAAAGAAGAGCCATAAAACTCTTTATTGAGCCTTTATTAAACCCATAATATTCTCTTGGCAGAAAGATGTCAAGTGTGAGACATAGAGGAGGATGGTGCATCATCGGTGTAGAAAGAAGAATCCATAGAATCAGTTTAGGTGACCGCTGAAGTTCAAGAATAGCCCAAAATCTACTTGAATACATAAACTTATTGCCTTCTAAACACATTGTTTTAGTTTACTTGTTTGTTTCATGCTTTGGGTTTAATTCCATCTCTTCTCTGACACAGGGGATGAATGGATCTTAGCTCTGGGACACCTGCTTCGCTGTGCAGGCTTACCTCGAGGTAACATATAGATGACCTCTAATTCTTACAATAGTTTCAGCCGAAGTACATTTAGGCTCATGTGTAACAGCTCTTCTACTGTATTTGACTCACCACCTGGGGACAGGGGAGGGTCCTCAGCTAAAGGAGCTCATTTGCATTAGTATTCAGTATCCACCCAATGCTTTCAATTCCTTAATTAAACACTTTAAGCAATCAAGTGCTACATGTTGTTTTTGTAGTATTTATTTTGCTTCCAGATCCTGAGATGACATCAGAGAGAAACTCAAAGAATCCTGAATTATAATCTGTGGGTAAATTCCCTGGCAGCAATGGTAATAGAAGTACACCCAAATGAGAAACATTTGCAGATATTTAAGTGAATTTAATCCAATTTGACTGGTGATTTAAACATGCAGCTTCTGTGTCCTGGTGACCATTGAAATGTCATTTTATGTAAATAAGGTTTTAAGATAATGGGCCAAATACACACTGGATGAGCTTTTAAGATTGTTATCAAGTTGCAAGACTTGATTAAATTCAATTCAACTGAAGGTGCTTTATATTGTAAGGTAGACCCTACAATAATACATATACGAAAAACCCAACAATCATATGATCCTCTACGAGCAAGCACTTTTTTGACAGTGGGAAGGGAGGGGCGGCCATCCACTGTGACTGGTTGGGCTGAGAGTTGATCACAACAGTTTTTATACTGACACTTTCAAAAACCTTTTTTTTCAAAGTGGCTGACTGTGGTTGAATTGTGGCCAACTGCACAGCAGAAGGCCTGAAGTCACTGATGCTGCTGCAGGTGCTCTGCCCCTCCGTCATGCACCCCATTGCCTCCGAGCATCTGTGTGATGCCGTCAACGTAGTGAGTCTGCAGAAAGATATAAAAGGAGGACTTATTCAGTAAACATTTTTTTTACAGCTCATAATGTCAACATCCTGTTTCTTTTTTATGCCCCACACATCTGCACCAAACTCTCAGAGAGCTCCAGGTCTGCTGCAGCAAGCTTCTGCTTGCCTTTTAAATAAACCAAATAATTACTCACCTCTTAAACTTGACTGTCTAATTGATTTTCTAGGTTTAATACTCTGATATTGCCTTATGCCGCGCATATGACCCTAATGCTTGTCACATTTATGTACACTTTGAAGTAAGCGTTGTTGAAATAAACGTATAGCATTGTCAAAAGATTTCAACAGCAGGTGAGCGGCTGAGACGAACCCACCTGCTTATAAAATCTTCTGTTTATAAGGGGTAACCAATCAGAAGAATGATTTCTTAAGGGGGGAAGAGCTAAACAGTTTGGGGACACACTGAGGGGCTGCACAAAGATCCCATATAACATAAATGAAGATTGTTCTGAATTATGCAAAGCTATTCTTGTAGAGAGCAGATAATACCCCTCCAGGCTTCTTCCACACTGTTTTAAAAAAACGCCTTGCATCACCTGCTACAGCACATAGCTGAGGTCATTGATACTAATCCTACCAGTGAATTGTGTTCACGTTTTTTAGGCTGCAATCTAGTAGCTGGTGTTGGCAAGAGTTAATTTATTAATTATTAATTATTCATAAGGATTAGTTTTTAGTGTAAAAATGAAAGCCTTGTGTCTTTGTGGGAATGTTGTTGGTTTTTTAAAAAACGTGTTCTTGGAAACAAAAGTGAAAAAGCCTTGCAACTGGTTAATCCAGTACTTTTTCTTTTCCTGATGTCTGATCAGAGTTGGATGCGTGACTACATGCTTCATTGTCATGTCTCTCTAACAAAGAACTCTACTTGTTTCATCTCTGAGTGCGCTCTCCGTGCTGGGGCTCATTAGAGCTCTGCAACTTTAAACTGCATATGACTCTTCTTCCACAGAAGAGCTATTACCAGGTCGCTTTATTTATGAATGCAAAACCTTTAAAACCGTCTTTAGTTGAGTATGTAGTCCTAAAAAATGAAACAAAGAACTCTAAGGAAAAAAAACAAAGCTTTTCCCCCCCTGGTATCATCAAACCTGTTGTGCATGAGAAAAATGCAGGAACAAAGAGCCCTGTCAATCACAATGTTCACTCACTATGCAACTAAACTACAAATCTAAGTGTATTTGTATGTTACTCTGAACTCTGGGCTCACGTATCAACATATCTCCAAGTAATGCTGGTTTTATCAGTATGTATTATATGTGTTAGTGGTAGACTGTGGTGTTATAGATGTGCAGAAACCACATATTTTACCTGATAAGCAAATAGGTTTCACCACATCTCTGCACCTCTGTATAAAACTATAATATCAGTGCCAAACCCTGAGGTTACACTTTGTTTGTTACCTGAAAGGACAGACAGAGTTTATTTGGAGGTATTCATAACAATATGCAAAAGGCTCTAAAAGTCAAGTCGGTGAATTAAAAAATCTTCTTCTTTTTAATAAACCTTCTGGCTTACGTACAACTGGATGTTTAACAGGTCATTTGATCCCCTCCATGTAACTGTAACTTCGGTGTAACTGTAACTTCGGTGTAACTGTAACTTCGGTCGTTGCTGTGCTTTTTTTGGAAGTCGAATTTCCCAGAGGAACCCACCCGAGGGATTAATAAAGTTCTATCTTATCTTATCTTATCTTAATCCTCTGATGATGATGGTGATGAAAAATGTATAAAGAACATAAAAAAATATCAGTAAAACATTTATAGAAATGAGATGAGAGATTTAAGTTGCTAATCTGGTGATTCAGTTCACAGAGCTGTAAAATAAACTTTTAAATTCAGGTTATTTGTTTTATCTCTCAGTGATGCTGTTTATTTCTAAGGTGACAGCTGCTCATTAGAGCTCTGAAACTTTAAACTGGAACCATTTAAACTTTTAATTGGATTGACTGAACTGTATTTTTCCTGTATACTCTGCGCTCCAGCAGGTGTCTTCCAGGAACAGTGATGCTATTTTCCGGTGATCTGATTGGTCAGTAGGTGGTGATTTCATATCTGTTGATCTCTAATCTGGTAACTAAGCTGAAGCCTACACCAGGTAACAGGAATACATCTTACCCAGATGTTGGGTCTGTGTTTCCACAAGCCCCGCTAATTCTAGAGACTTATTCATCATGAAGAAAACAAGACAGTCGATCGATCAATCACTTGCGCAAGGGAGGCCTGTGGGGAAGAGGCCTTGCTGCCTTTTTATTGAGAGACAGTTCACACAAAAAACATCAGAACAAAGCCACGCCCACTTGGTTCTAAGACAAGGCATTGTACATATATGTGTGAACTTCTGTAAGAATGTGTGTGTGTGTGTGTGTGTGTGTGTGTGTGTAAGAATGTGTGGCAGACCTCCTGCTGACCAAAGGGTCATAAACGCAGGAAGCTTACATCAAAAGAAGCAGATCTTCCAGATAGGATGTATCTGCAATAAAACATTACAGCCCCCCAACCAGAACCTCGAGAATCTGGGGGGAAGGACAGTGAAATTCCTTTCATTAGAGTTGGCAGGCATAAAAATGACAACATTTAACAATTCACTCTAACACCAGGTAACTTCAGGGTTTGCCCTGGGATTTCTGTACTAAAAAGGTAAATCACCATGGTAACTTGTGCTGTTAACCTAAGCTGTTCAGTGAGTAGGTTAACTAATCAGTTCTCCAGAAAGAGCATCATCAATTACTGAAGAAACTTTACACCTCTGCACAGACAGGAGTGTCAGGTCTTTGTGGGTTTTTAAAAAAAATAATAAATAAAGATGCAACTGAGTTTCTTGATTTTTTTTTAATATGTTTTATAAGCATTTATATACGATCCTGAAACAGGACATTTACTTGCTGAATGTCGACTAAGTCCATGTTTGAATTCTGCTTTTTAAATTTAATCTTTACTCTCAAAC